TTTCCTCCTCTCTCTCTCTCTCTCTCTCCCCTTGTATTAGAAGAAGAAAATGACATAAAGATGGGGCAAAGTTTTAATGCGATGTATTTTCTAATAATAATCTCATCTTTTTTAAATTGACTTCTACGTGTATTACACGCATACGTGGACTTTCGTTTTTTTTTTTTCGTGCTCAATTAATGAATTTTTTTCTAATTTAGATAAAATACACATTGAGAATACACCACCAGGAAGCTGTCCCTTTGGTGAGCCACCTCTTGGTGATAATGCACCTGTAATATGCGGTGACGATGCAGGATCATTCGAATGCCCAAAAGGATATTATTGTCGCATGGGACCACCTAATGTATGCTGCCTCGAAAAATTCCTTCCAGGTAATATCATATCAACTGGAAATTATGATAAATTTTCCTTCTAAAGCGCATTTATTCTACAAGGCATTAATCCTGATATTATGGTCAAAGTTGAAGTGGCCACAATAAGTATTCCGATACTGCAGCGGCATCAACTTTAACCACTTTGATCATACTTCAGAAAATTGGTCTTTTGATCTTTTAAATGTACATAAATGAATTAGTCGTAATTGTAATTTTTCCCATATTTATCCAGAATCTTTTAAATTATGCTGAAAAATGATCATATTACAAAATTAGAACTTTGGAATTGAATGCCACTTAAAATTGAAGTGAGTGCTATAATTATAACTATTAAATGTTTGAAGTGCTTCTTATAGTTTTGGAAAAAGCATTAGTGACAAAAAAAAATCAGAAAAATATTCGTTTTTCACCACGAAAACCAAATGATGATATTGGTTATCAACCGGAAGAAGGTCAGAAAGGAAGCGAAGGTAACTGTCATTCTGCTACAAATACTCGCTGTATAAATTAGAGTTTACAAGTTTTTGTTCAAAATTCACTCCACAAATCTTTAAATTTTTTTTGACCCTCAAAAGGTCAGAAATGTTACAAATAATTATCATTATCTTTAGTGGAGAGTTCGCAATCGTTAATTGTGCCAACAAACATTTGTCCGGATGGTTCCGATGCACTAGTTGATGATTCTACTCAACAACCGCTCAAATGTGGCTCAGGTTATGATGGTCAATCACTTTGTCCAGTTGGCTATTATTGCTCTATTGATTCAGAGAAGAATGGTAATATTTCAGTAACCCTATTGATGATACATTTATAATCACATACTTTTATCTTATCTATCATTGTAACTCATCCTAAGGCGATATTATCGCAAGATTACATTGATTGAATAGCAAAAAAAAAAAAATGTTGTGCTAAATTTTTTGCATATTTACAGGACGATTATGTTGTCAGCTTGGAGTAATGGGAGTGAAGATCCCACCTCCTCCAAAGATACCACCATATTTCGGATTGCGACCCTCAAATCCAGGCGAAGTACTCCCACGCGGATCTTTGCCATCTGATTATATTACGCAAAAACATCGTTAGTATATTGATCGAAAAGTTTTTCTCCATGCTTTTTTCGCCCAATAATATTGATAAAGAGAGTAGGGTGATACTTTTAATAATACTGATAAAAAGAGTAAGATGATACTTACAATAATATTGATAAAGAGAATAGGGTGATATTTTCAATAATACTGATAAAGAGAGTAGGGTAATAGTTGAATGAATGGATGAAATTTCATTCCTCTAAGTGTTTATGAAATCTGTAGCTATTACAAAATTTGTTGATCTTAGAGCTATTAATTAAGGCTAGTAATTAGCCGAAATATCCAGCACCGTTTTTTTTTACAAGCAATACAATGTTTACTTCAATCGTGAATTGCTTATTCCAATAAATTATTGTTTCAGAAGAAACCGGAATATCAAATGTAGCTGAGTCTAGTGAAGGGTACCGGTCGCATCTAGTTTTAGGCGGCAATAAATTAGCCACCAATGGTTTTTTTTCCTTATCTCTTTATCACTTAATATTTCACTCGAAATTAAAAACAAAAACAAAATGATGCAGTAGAAGTCACATACTAGGGTCATTGTAAGCTAGAAGAAGAGGAAGTGATCCAGTGACCGACAAGGAATTTCTTTTTTACCTGTACTATGATCATAAACCATGATGATTGTGAAATATAAGAAGATTTCCATAGACTAAAGTATTGTTATGAAGCCATTTCGAGCATTCACTTTTCTTTTTAGTACGACCTATAATTGATTCTCGAGCACCAGAAAATGAGGCGATAGACCATTCCGGAAATCTCGTTCCGGTTGACCAAGCAGCAGATTCTTCCAGAAATCTCGTTCCATCTGGTCAGTTTTGTTTTTTATTTGGAAATATTTATACCTGCAATCATATGCGTTACGATATCATATGCGTTACATGCATTGCGATGTCATATGTATCACGTGCAATTCTGGCTAATTTTGCAAAAAAAAAAAAGAAAAAAATGCAATCAAAGTACAAGGTAATGAATGATAAGCCGTTCGATAGTGTAACTTTTCAGAAAATGAAGGAATATATTTCATTTTTAAATTATTATTGGGTGTGCTACTAAGTATTCTATCACGGAAATTAATCAATTGTTGAAAAATAATGTTAAAAATCAGTCAATTAACATAGGTTAATAGCAAGCCGAAGTTTCCAGTTCTTTTACAAATTCAATTTATTCATAATAAATTCATTCCTCATTAAACAGAAACAATTTGCATATTTTAGACTCCAAATTGCAAGATGATGTTTATGGTCGAATGATGCTTAAATCAAATGATCAAACATTTCGAACACAGGGTTTTTTTTTTTCATCGTTCATCTTTTTTTCTTTAAAAAAACAATTAATCATTAACTTATTAAGGGCATAATTAATTTCAATTAGTTCGTTTCAAAAGATAATTTTACAGCATTATCCAACATATAGTACGCTATAACTGATAGTAAGTGTTTTTTTCTAATTTGTGATATTAACAACTAATAGTTACTTTCTGATTTATGATGTTAACAATGTTCATTACACTTTACAATCCAATGGATAATATAGCTTCACCTGAAACGGAAACTAACGAAGTTCAAATTGATGTTGGAGAAATGAAAGATCCATTTGAATCATTGGAATATGCTCAAAAAACCACTTCCGATCGAAGTATTTGCCTTCTGAAGCCTAATGAAGGTTTGATTTTATCAATATCTCAAACTGTTATCGCTATTTTCATCATCCTTTTCTAAATTTTAATCAATAATATTTTCTCTTCTAACATAATGAGTTAAATTTCGTCTATTCCCACAAAATGTTATTTAGATCATCACCTTATATTTAGATCAAAAAGTACAAAATATATATTTCAGGTCGAACATGTCGGGAAAATGAATCACCTCCTCGAACAAACTTACAGTATTTTTATAGTAGTCGTGACAAACGTTGTAAACTCTATTTCTATCGAGGATGCGGTGGTAGTCAGAATCGATTCGATACCAAAAGGCATTGCGAATTAACTTGCGCCGTAAGTATTATTTTTATTTTTATTAGCTGGAATATATTTTGGTTAGAATTTATCTCCTTTTGCTTATTTCTTTTCTTTTGGATGGATCCATCTTAGAAAGGGAAGCAAATCAGTTCAGCAAAAATATTAGCCTAGCCAGGCTATTTTTTGAGCAGTAGCAATGGGAGATATATTTAGAAAGAATATTGCTTCTGTCAAACTCCCCTAAATTAGGCGAAAATAGGATACTAATGAATTGTTCATAGCTATTTCAGGGTATGTAATGTTGATTGTCGAACAGCTAATTGATCAATTAATTGCGTTCTAAGTGGACACATTCATCTTTACAACAACTACGTCAAATCAACGTCATACACTTACTTCATTAACCTTTGACATTACCATTCTGTCTATTACTTGTATGTAAATGAACAAATTGTCAAGAGGCTATCGATGTAAAGATCTTTGTTTTCCCTGTTTACCATTTGTTACTGCATCGATAGTCTTTAAGTAATGCTTCTAATTATCTCAAGGCCCTCCAGAAATTAGGCTAACCTTTTTTTGTTTCTAAAGACTAATGGCATATACCTTCATCTTGTGCTTATCTTTCTCTTAATATCTAAAACAAGAGAATGAGTGAAATGGGCCAAATGTTTCTAGGACGTGATAAATCTGATGAATATTCCACAATTACCTAAGCCTAGACATATTTAATCTTCAGTGAACGCAAATATACTTTACCTAATTATACTTCCAAAAGAAAAAATAACGCTAAACGATTTGACTACAACAAATGTCATCTTGTACGTATGTTTCTATGTCTATGATTTATACTTACAGGTCTTAATTAATCTATTGATAATGATGAAAGTATTTGCCGGACATTTTAAACAGATTCAAAAATGACAATGACTGAAACATCACATAAAATCACGTGGAAAGAGAATGTTCGATAGCTCTGAACACGCCGCAAATACATCACACTAAAAAATTGATGTAATATGTTTAATTAAACGCATTGCCTTAATGACAAGCCGTATGTGACAGTATGCGTAGACGTATGTGACAATTTCTCTTTTTCGTTAGGCAATTTTATGCCAACCTGCTTCACTTGTCATAACTTAAGTAATTATCAATTAATAATCGATAAAAGTCTGATAAAAAATTTGACATTCTGCCAGACTGACGCAACAAATTGTGGGCAACAAGTGATCCATTTCAGTTGTAAGTGCGTGACAACTGAATATCATCACTGAAATACACTTAAGATCACGTAATACACGTAACCTCCTACAAGTTGTATTTTGTCGCGAGAGGATAATTTCCGCTGAAATTCAAAAAACCAACTAGAAAGAGTGGAAGGGCATTTGTTTACTGTTTAATACTGGTTTGTTAGCTTATTTAGATGAGCCTGAAAAATTGAGTCATTTGAATTTGCTGTGATTAAATTTGTTTTCCAATTTTTTGATTAACAAAAATGAGAAAGTTGAAACAATCATTTCCCCATTCCTGCCATTCTAGCACTAAACCAGACATTTTTCTAGCTCAGCTTGGCTGAAATAAATATGTGAAATGATAAATTCAAAAAAAAAAGAAAAAAAAGAAAAAAGAAAAAAAACTCAGAAATGCTGAACGACTGAAGGAAATTGCAGCAGGGATATCGTATCTATCTATCTTCCAGAGTACCGAATTCAACAGCCCATATTGAACGATGTCCCATGTTCTCTGTCATTAATCATCCCTGCATTTTTGATTGCCGACAATATCGTGTATCATTATCCACACCTTATACCGTCATCCCAAAAGGCGCATTACAGTTCATTACTGTACCTCACTCAAAGAGTTACAGTAGTTGCAGAGATACACTTGTGTGCAGGTCTCGTAGCGAAAGATGGTTGGCGCGCAAAAGAACAATTTGAATTTCTAATTGATGGTGGGTACATTAGTAAACATTAATTAATAACCATTAATAGGTGCAATGGGATGGAATTGGATAGTGGCAAACTATTGTTTTTCGATTATACTTTTATTCCGACACATTATTTCACTTCTTGAGTTTATTTTCATAAATTAAACAGAGATTATCTTTGTTATATGCTTCATCGTAATTGATATGATATGCTTACATCACATAGAATGACCAGTGGTCTTTCATATACCATTTCTTAGAGGTATCATATTATGAGTTTAGTATCTCTGTAAATCGTGGAGTGAGTGGTCAACGGAAACGACAATAATGAATGAAACACTAAATGAATTGCTGAATTTGTTCGAAGATGATGAACAATTTAAAGGTTTATTTTATAATTTTATTCTGATGATACCACTCATTTATTATTCACTCTTTGATAGAAATAACACTTATCTGCATTCAGCAGATGTAACCTTCTTTTGTTTTGCACTTTTCTACTTAACAGTTGACAACTCACATTGATTTGTTGATCGAATATATCTAAGTTAATGCTATGGATGTATCATAATTTTAAGTACAAAAATCACCGAATGTCGATGGTGGAAATGATAGAGGAATGAAGAAGATGGATGACAAACAAAAAAAGGATAGGACTAATTTAACTATATCAAATACAATTAGCGCTGAAAAGAAACGTAAGTACGAGACATAAATATGTGTTGGGGGTTGATAAAGAGTTATGTATTGTTTCATATCGGATTACAGACTTATTCTTATATCGAGTTGTGGACTTGCTAACTTATATGTATTACTTGAGTTACATTTCACTATGCTGATCTGTTCTCTTTCAGTATGTTATTGTGAAAGAAATGACGAAATTGAAGCGTGTATTTAAAAAAAACGTTCGTGTCGCAAGCTATGTATATATATATATATATATTATATATATATATATATATATATATATGTATATATATATGTATATATATATATA